ATATAGCATTATTTTGTATTATAACTTTGATATTTAATTAGAAAAATAGTGCACAAAAAAGATAATAGACAATGTAGTGAATATAATCAATTGATGAATTTGAATGTAAAAATTTTTACATTTGAGAAAAATAAAGACAATATAACTAATAATGAAAATATTTCTCTTAATTAATTTATTGATAATGAATAATTTTTTTTCACTGAATTAAGACATTGTAAGGACAATGTAGCGAATATAATCAATTAATAAATTTGAATATAAAGAATTTTTATATTGTAGAAAATAAAGACAATATAATAATACAATTATTTCTCTTATTTAATTTATTGATAATGAATAATTTTTTTTTTGAATAAAGCATTGTGGACACATAATTCTAAATTAAAGAAATGCATATCTATAATTTTTTGTTGTAGCTACTAAATTATTATTTATATAATTTAATAAGAGTAAAATAAAGTACTAATTATGCCAACTTTGATTGGGATGAGGTTTGAACCTAAGACCTTTTTTTTTTTTTTTTTTTATTGAAATCAATGAGTAAGTTAACGGTGAACTAACGGCAATTCTTAAAATTTTAACGGAATTAGTAACGGTGTGTGGGTATTTTAGGAAATTTTAGTGTAAAATTTAAATCTTATCAATCTGAGCCATTCATTTGATGAAAATCTGTGACCGCCATTTTTTCTACCATTATAGGTCTAACTCTCTTGGGCTCTTATTAGTATAGTAGATAGTAGATATATATATATATATATATTATATATATATATATATATATATATATATATATATATATATATATATATATATATATATATATATATATATATATACATAGGTCATTTTACATGTTAATCTAAATAGCTAATTTTTTCAAATATGTTTTTTACCAACCGTTGGTATAATTTGCTGGTCAAATTCGCTAATACAATCCGCTAACGCTAACCACTAACAAATGATTGGCAAACAAGGACTTTGCGAGGTAGTTCTCACTTCAATTTGTTGTTTGATTTGAATACTCTCTTTGTCAACAAATCCCTGAAATAGTTAATATGATTGACTTTATTAATTATATTTTTTTTAAAAAAAATTTCATGGTATTAATAAAATACTTGGTAAATAAATATATAGCATTATTTTGTATTATAACTTTGATATTTAATTAAAAATAGTGCACAAAAAGATAATAGACAATGTAGTGAATATAATCAATTGATAAATTTGAATGTAAAGAATTTATATATTGGAGAAAATATAAAGACAATATAACTAATAAAATTATTTCTCTTAATTAATTTATTGATAATGAATAATTTTTTTTTAATAAAGACATTGTAGGGACAATGTAGCCAATATAATCAATTGATGAATTTGAATGTAAAGAATTTTTATATTAGAGAAAAATAAATACAATATAACTAATGAAATTATTTCTCTTATTTAATTTATTGATAATGAATAATTTTTTTTAATAAAGACATTGTACACACATAATTCTAAATTAAAGAAATGCATATATATTATTTTTTCTTGTAGCTACTAAATTATTATTTAATTTAATAAGAGTAAAATAGAGTATTTATTATGCTAACTTTGATTGGGATGAGGTTTGAACCTAAGACCTTTCTTATTGAAATCAATGAATAAGTTAACGGTGAACTAAAAACGCAAAAGATAATATTTAACGGAAAAGTTAACGGATAATCATATTCATTAAGGATAAATTAGAAAATCTTAAGGAAAAATTAAAATCTGATCAATCTGAGCCATTCATTTGATTAAAAAATTTGACCGCCATTTTTTCTACCCATTATAGGCCTAACTCTCTTGGGCTCTTATTAGTATAGTAGATTATATCTAACTTGAGTTATTCTTACAATATAATTCAATATTTTCCTTAGTTTCTTGTTTCTATGAAAATAATGTGCTTTAACATTATTCTAATTTTGATTTCCAGTGCACTTGTCAGAGAAGCAACACAAAAGGGATGAAAGTAATGAACTGAAATTAGAAAGGAAAAGGTTTTTCTCTGTATTCATCAAGGCAATACACCGTGCTATCTATATTGGATACAAGAAAGCAGTTAGATGGTTTAGGAGGGGAAAACTAAATAAGCTAATTACAAAAGTTAGTTATGAAGTAGTTTGCTGAGCTGTGTGAACCCCCATCTGTTGACACCCCCCCCCACAAGCTGGAGTATACATGGAGTGTAGGCCCAGCTTGGAGATGAAGTTGCAGTAGGTACTGAGGGCCAAAGGCTTGGTGAACACATCAGCTAGTTGATTAGTGGTTGTGACATGTAGCAGTCTGATGATTTGCTTCTGCAGTTTCTCCCTCACAAGATGGCAATCTATCTCAATGTGCTTTGTTCTCTCATGGAAAACTGGGGTTCTCAGCTATGGCAATTGCAGACTTACTGTCACAGTATAGCATGGCTGGTGAATCAATGTATACTTGTAGGTATTGTAGGAGATAGATCAGCCATTGTATTTCACATGTTGCTGATGCAAGGGCCCTGTATTCTGCTTCAAAGGAACTTCTGGATATGGTTTGCTGCTTATTTGATTTCCAAGAAACCAAGGTGGAGTCTAGGAACATGCAAAACCCAGTAACAGATCTTCTAGTATCAGGGCATGCAGCCCAATCAGAGTCTGAAAAAAACCTTTGAATCTGTAAAGAAGATGTTGCTGCAAAGAAAAAGTCCTTGTCCAGGAGCTGCCTTAACATAACCTCAATATCCTGTGAGCAGCTTGTAAATGTACATCAGTAGGGGAATCTAGGAACTGGGATAACTATTGTGTGGCAAAGCTTATGTCTGGTCTTGTAATGGTAAGGTATAACAACTTTCCCACAAGTTTCATATATTGGGTGATATCCTCCAATTTGTTGCCCATGTTTCTGCTAAGTCTTGGGGATGCCATCATGGGTGTTTTGGCTGGTTTGCAATGTATGAAACTAGATTCCTCCAGTAGCTCTATTGTATATTTTCTTTGTGTCACACAGATCCCTTTGTTGCTTCTGGCCACTTCTAGGCCCAAGAAAAACTTTAAAGAACCTAAATCCTTAATATGGAATACAGCATCCAAATGTGATTTAATCTGCTCTACTTGGCTTAAGTCTGGGCTAGCAATTACTATATCATCAACATATACAAGTAATGCCACAAAGTCATTACCTTGGCCCCTTGTGAATAAGGAAGAGTTAGATACAGCTTGCTTAAAACCCATGCTTGAGAGTTCTTGGCTGAGTTTAACATTTCAACTGTCTGCTAGCTTGTTTCAATCCATAAAGGGACTTAACCAACTTGCATACCTGACCAGGTCTAGAAACTGTGAAACCAGGGGGTAGAGTCATATATACTTCCTCATTTAAATCCCCATGTAGAAAAGCATTATTCACATCTAGTTGGTGAAGATTCCAACCCTTAATTGCAGCCACAACAAGCAGCACTCTAATGGTGGTTATTTTGGCTACAGGACTGAATGTGTCCAAGTAGTCTATACCAGGTGTTTGAGTGTAACCCTTGGCTACTAACCTAGCCTTGTATCTCTTAACAGTGCCATCAGCTTTAAGCTTGGTCTTGAACACCCATTTGCAGCCTATTGGTGTCTTGGATGGGGGAAGATCAGTGAGAATCCAGGTATTGTTCTCTTGTAGGGCACTAATTTCTGCTTCCATAGCTTTTCTCCAACAATCCTCTTTAATTTGATGGTCTCATTGTAAGTTCTTGGCTCTCTAGTACTCAAAGCATTAACAACAAAGACTTTGTATGCTTGTGAGAGATTATCATAAGATAGGAACTTAGATATATTGTGAGGAGATGTCCTTCTGACAGTGTTTTGACAAACATAGTCACTAAGGTAAGTAGGTTGGGACCTTACCTTGGTTGACCTTCTTGGTTCTGAGCTTGGTTCTGCATCATTTGTATCATTAGATCCATTTGAGTGGATTGGAACATCTGGTGAACCCCCAGGTAAGTCATCAGAAGGAGCCTCTATATTATGCAATGAAGTGTCTTCATCATATTTCAGGTTTGATATCCCTTCAGAAGGTAGAAGCATATCAAATGGCTGCTTATCATGTGAGTCCTGAAGAGGAAATATATTTTCATAAAATGAAACATCTCTTGATAATAAGACCTCCTTAGTCTGAATATCAAATAATTTGTAGCCTTTCACACCATTTGCAAATCCCAGAAATATACATCTCCTAGCTCTTGGAGAGAATTTGTCTCTTTTGTAGTTGGGAATGCTGGCAAATGCTAAACATCCAAACACATTAAGGTGTTGATATTGGGGAACTTTGCCAAAGAGTATTTGGTAGGGAATTTGATTGCCAAGAACTGCTGAGGGAATTTTGTTGATCAGATATACTGCATGAAGAATACAATCACCCCAAAACTGTTTAGGAAGACTAACCTGAAATCTCAAGGCTCTTGCTATGGACAAAATGTGTCCATGTTTTCTTTCTACAATACTGTTTTGCTGAGGTGTGTATACACAAGATGTTTGGTGAATGATGCCTCTTGTTTGATAGAAATTCTCCATAAGAAATTCTTTCCCATTGTCAGATCTTACACATATAATCACTTTCCCAAACTGAGTTTTGATTAGCTCATAGAAGCATTGTATAATCTGTCTTACTTCACTCTTCTTCCTCATAAGGTAAACCCAAGTGGATCTGCTATGATCATCTACCAGAGTTAGAAAATACTGATGACCATAGATAGTTGGAACATGATAGTATCCCCATACATCAGCATGAACAAGATCAAAACAGTTATTGGCAATGGATGAACTAGAATGAAAGGGCGGCTTTTTTGTTTAGCCAAATGGCAATATTCACAAGCTATTGGCTTATCATTACAAATTTTATTGTCTAGAGTGTGAAGGATCCTGATTTTGATTTCAGAAGCATGTCCTAGTCTAGCATGCCAAAAACTACATGTATTGGCAACAGGGAAATCAACAAAATTACATTGAGCAGAAACAGGGAAAACAAGATGATAGAGTCCTTTCTTCAGCTTAGCCAACCCAATCATCTTCCCAAGGTGTTGATCCTGTATAACACACTGATTAGTATGAAAAAGTGTGCTGCAATTTGATCTTCTTATAAGTTCCCCCAGAGAGATCAGATTATACTGAAATATGGGAACACACAATACATTTTCCAAGATTAGATTTGTAGATAGATGAACAGATCCAATGTGTGACACCTCTGCATAGTGTCCATTGGGTAAATCCACTTGATTTCCTTGTACTTTATTGGATGTATGAAATAGGTGATTACTACAGATAATGTGGTGTGTGGCACCACTGTCTATGATCCATATAAGCTCAAAATTGACTGTATGGATGAGAGAGTTAGCCAATTTACCTTCATATTGAGCATTAGGAATGAAATTGGCTGCCATCGCATTAGTCTGTAGTCTGATGGCTTTAGGAATAAAGTTGGCTGCCATGACATTAGCCTTTAGATTCAGATCAAGAGGAGTGTTGGTTCTGGTTCTTTCTTGCTGCAAGAATTCCAGAAACCTTCTGCAGTCTTCTTGGGTAAAAGGAGAACAGGTTTCTGAACTCCCACCCTCTTCCATAGAGCTTTGCACCGTGTTGACTGAACTCCCTTTGTTTCTTGGTTTCCAACCTGGTGGGTATCCGTGCTTCTTATAGCACTTCTCTACAGTGTGCCCCGTATATCCACAGTAGCTGCACATGAGCTTTTGTTTCTGGTTTGGGAAATTCCTTCTATTATCTGCCTTAGTAAAAAAAACATTTGCTCCTATCATGTTGTCCCCACTGGGCATGCCGGACTCGATCTCTACCTACCTTTCCTGTTGTGAGAGCATGGAGCTAGAATGTCTCACCCACATCAGGCAATGGTTTCATCAACATGATTTGCCGCTTGGTAGTAGTATAGTTATCGTTCAAACCGGTGAGGAAGGCCGACATCATGTCATTCTCCAGATGTGTCTTCACCTTCTCAGATAGCTTGTCTCTGCACTCAGAGGTGGGAGAACATTCACAATTCGGGATTGGTCTCAACACGAGAAGCTCATCCCACAACAATTTCAACTGAGTGATGTATTCGTTTATGGTAGAGTTACCTTGTCTGATTTGGTAGATTTGTGATTGGATTTCTGCAATCCTAAAAACATCTTGTTGACTGAAGCGTTTATTCAAATCTTTCCATACGCCTTCAGCAGAATTGATCCAAAGGACGCTGTGAGCTATGGTGGGGGATACAAATCTTAGAATCCAAGATAGCACCATTGTGTTGCAGCGATCCCAGTAGTAGAACTTCGGATCGTTTATGCTTGGAACAGCTACAAGGCCGTTGACGAAACTCATCTTGTTCTTGGATCTCAGAGCCATCTCCATGGCCCGTGCCCAAGAATGATAGTTGGATCTCCCTTCCAACTGCACTGTGACGAGCTGTAAAGTGGGGCTTTCGTTTGGATGAAGGTGTAGAGGGTTTGTCAAATCATTTGGATAAAAAACCCCTGTCTGAGCTGCAGTACGAATTGGATTAGGGATCTGGTTCTGACCTGATGAGGTAGCTGCCTGGGAATAGGTGGCTTGCTGAACCATGATTAAGCTTTGATGGATGAAGCCCTATTGGAGCTCTGATACCATGTTAGAGAAGCAGCACAAAAGGGATGAAAGTAATGAACTGAAATTGGAAAGGAAAAGGTTTTCTTTGTATTCATCAAGGCAATACACTGTGCTATCTATATTGGATACAAGAAAGCAGTTAGATGGTTTAGGAGGGAAAAACTAACTAAGCTAATTACAAAAGTTAGTTATGAAGTAGTTTGCTGAGCTGGTGAACCCCCATATTGTTTTCTAATACTGGAATATATTTTCAGTGAACTGAAAAATAATATTCCAGTGCATTAGCAATGACGGATTGTATCCAAAAACTAACTATACAGTACTTGACACTTGTTCTCCAAATATTAACTATACAGATAGATGATTCTTCATCTTGTCAATAAAACATTCCAAGTGAGCTAACTAAAGAATCGGTTGTGCAAAAAAAGCCAACTAATGTTTGATAATTAGTATTTAGTAGTGTGTTTGAACTTTCGATTGCTATTTTGTTATATAATGTTTAGACTTTGGATTTGGACTATGTGAATATGTATTGTATAGTAGTGTGTTTGTAAAATTAGGAAATATTAAAATTTGGGGTTCTTAAATCGAACCAAACCAATTCCGAGCCAAAACCGAAGTTTTTTCAAATCGAATTGAATCCGAACCGAACTATAATGTTAAACCGAATGGTATCATCTTTTAATACCGAAACCGAAAAAAAGTCAAACCGAAGCCCGAAAGGCCCACCCCTACTTTGAACCTCCTTATAATAATAATAATAATAATAATAATAATAATAATAATAATAATAATATTATTATTATTATTATTATTATTATTATTATTATTATTATTATAATTTTATTTTGAATATTTTATTTTTATTAATAAAGTATTAAATAAAATGTTGGAAAAGATCAGAGACCAACGGGCAGAATATTTTAGTTTCTAAAGGCTTTATGTTTGAATTAGTCTTCTCAGAAACAAAAGATTCTCACCCTCTTGCAGAGCTGACCTCACCAAGAAGGACTGACCAATCCTCACACCTTAAGTCCTTAATCAACTCCCTAAAGGAGTTCAATGGGAACCATCTTTAAATCATTGTAAATCCCTTTTTTCTATTAATGACATTATTAATTTATTATTATAATTATTATTAAAAAAAGATTTTGTGGTTGTTGCTTGATACGCACCCAGCCCATCCATATCAGTGATTCTTTTAAAATTTTGCGAAATGCCAAAACTCCAACCAATTCTATAGTCTTTAAATACTACATAATTTGATTATTGAATTCCCATTACAAGTGTCTAGTAAACCTTGGGTGACTTTTCTATTCCTTATTCTTAGACAAAGTTCTTTATATATATATATATATATATATATATATATATATATATATATATATATATATATATATATATATTTCATGGAAGCGGTTCAAGTGTGGAGATGCTCTTAGGTGAAAGATGAGGTTAGATCTGAGCTATTAATCATCAAATCTAGATCAACAGCTCAAATCAATGAAAATTAAAAAAAAAAAGGCTGAGTCCTCAATTAAAGAAGAAAATTGTAAAAAATGACGCACATTAAAAATGAAAACAACGCATCTTAAAAAGAAAAACAATCCGCCTTAAGAATGAAAAAAACGCACCTTAAGAATGAAAAAACGCACTTTAAGAAGGAAAATCACGCATATAAAACTTTAAACCGACGCACCTTAAAAAGGAAAACAATGCACCTTAAGAAGGAAAACCACGCACCTAAAGCTTTAATTAGGCCGACGCATCTTAAGTTTCAACAATTGACACACCTTAAGCACACAGCACAGAAACCACGCACCTTAAATTTGACCTATATGCAAAAAGACCAAATTGTCACTGTGTTTTTTTAATCATATTCAATCTGGATTGTTGATTTTGATTAGATCAAGAGCTGATATTAAACAACATCTTTTACCTTAAGCCTATTACTGCGCATTTGATCTCTTATCTATATTTCATCAACATCAACCATATATGTTGCCAAGTCTTAGCCTGTAGGTCGTGTCATTTGGTATCCCAAAACCCACTCCTATGGTTGGAATAAATTTTTGGAATATTCTTTACAATAATAGTCATGGCTCTCTCTATAAATTTAATTGAAATTATCATTGTATATAATAATATAAAACATTCATTATTATATGACCAAACCATATAATAAAATATTACCTAATAATATTTCCTCAGATCAATTCAAGTACCTGCTGTTTTCCTTCTTCCATCTTATTTTCTAGTTCCAAATTAACTCAAACTGCTGCACAAGCTAAGTGTGATGGGGAGAGGAGTTGAAGACCACCCAAATCTACATGAACAACCCAAGGTGGAAGTTCCTTCAATTCTTCATCTATCCCATATTCAAAATTAATTTTCATATAAATTTTTAATTCTTTCCCAACAATCTAATCTTTGCTTTCATTTATCATTAGGGTGAAATTGATGAAGAAAGTAGAGAATCCTTGTTACCTCCAAGACCCAAGTCACCAGCAAATCAGAACAGCAGACCCAGCAGCATGGTTGTTAAGGCAAGTTCATATCTATTGTATTGTTTTTTGATTTAATTATGATCATGATCATCATCTAAAAGTTTTGGTGTAAGTCTGTATTTGGATCACGAGGGGAACCACACAACCTTTTTGGGTGTAGGTAAACCCCGCCTTGTGTTCCTAGCCTGCGAAGGACCACAAAGAAGTAAACCAGTCTAGGTTAATTACCCACCGGCTCAAACCATAGGGGCAAAGATTCGAACTTGTGACCATGTGATTACAAGTGTGGATCTCTTGCCATTGATCTTGAGTGGGGTTACCCCGAGTAAGTGTGTATTTAGTTTGTTTTTTGTCAGACCACGAGGTGTCCTGACCAGGCCCTAACTGTAGCAGCATGGTACGGGCTTAAGGTGCCTCATACAGTTAGGTACCTTTAAGCCCGAGTAAGTGTATTTAGTTTGTTGTTTGATTGTTTGAATGAAAACAGAAAGCACATACTGTGATTCCAGCTCACTTGGTGGCAGAAGCCATATCCACACTCCATGGGCTTGATCTAAGATGGTCTGGACCAATCACACCAAGTGAGATGCAGTATGTACAGCAGTATGTGTTTGCAAAGTACCCTGAATATTGCAATGGCCTTGTAGAAGATGGGGACAAGCTTGATCTCTACACTCTTTGCATAAACAATGATGAATCTTTAGACAAGGGAAAATCACCAAGAAGGGAGGCCTCTTCACCTTCTTTCACTCATAACACTAGTGCTTCAGAACTGGGAAGAATCCAATTGGAGCCTTCGAGATTACTGGATATTCTCACCAAGAAAACTTCATTCCAAGGGAACTTCATTTCAATCCCAGAAATCCAAGTTCGAAACCGGGCACTGCAACACTGTGGGCTAAGTGAGGATGAATATCTGGTGGTTTTCACGCCAACAATCAAAGAGGCCATGATGATGATAGGGGAATCATACCCTTTCTTCAGAGGGAACTATTACCTTACAGTTCTTGGTGGGGAGGATTATGACTGCATTCGAGAATTCGTGGTGTTTAAGGACTCAAAGGTGATTGCAGCCCCGGAAACATGGCTGGACTTGAGGATCAAAGGGTCTCAGCTCAGTCAGTACTTCAGGAGGAAGTGTAAGCACAGCCCCAAGGGGCTCTTTGCATACCCGGCTTATGTGAACGAAACGCGATACTCTATGCATTGGATCTCAGAGGCTCATAGGAATTCTTGGCATGTTCTGCTTGATGCTTCTGAGTTGGATGTTGGCAAGGACAGGTTGTTGACACTGGCATTGCACCGCCCCGATTTCGTGTTGTGTACTGTTGATAACACCCATTCTCACCCTTCAAAAATCACCTGCCTCTTAGTAA